TTACAAACTCACTACTTACATTATCCTCATACAATCCTTGGACACAGTCAAAGTACATAACCCTAAAAACATAAAGGAAATAACAATAAATAATCCCTTAAGCACTTCGTCCTAAGGATTCACTGATTGATCCTGCTAGTAGACCATACATTTGGAGACCGGCGGTTATTTACCATTTTTCAAAGTAAACACCAGGAGAGAAATTGCACTTCTTCTCTTTTACATCTCTTAAGCTTCAAGTCTTGGTATCATTATATTTTACTTTAGGATCACACAAGAACCTTAATCTTCTATCTTTATGAGGCTTGAGATATCTTCAAGTTGATTACCATAATCATAAAACTGAGAGAGAAAACCACCAGTGAACCTTGAAACATAAGTCTTCACTTGAATGTTATTTACCCACAGTGTTGAATTCAAAAAATGACTTGATATTCAAGATCATCTTTAAAAGTATAGCTTGATAAAATGTCTAAAGAATCTCCAATCTCTTGAGATATCTAGATAATGACTTCACTAGATATCGTTTAATATCAAGTGTTGACATCATCAAAACCACACAACTGATCAATTGATTTCAGTTTTGCTATCAATAAATTCCACCTCCTTGGATCACCTTGATAGTACCTACAAGCTTATAGATCCACAAATTCTCTCATCATCTTGCGCCTAGTGTTTTTATCTTGTATATGATCAGTTAAATGTAAATGACGCAAGAGTAATTCTTTGAGTGCTAATGCGATGCACACACGCACTAAAACCATTTGAAAATCTTCATATTTTTCTCAAACCTATTTAAAATAAACTTAGCAGGTACTTAAACTATAAAGAATAAATTCTAATCAATTAGGAAAGCTAAATTCATTATGTAATCAATTGGACCCTTTATCTAACCGATTAAGGTGAGAAGTTTTCCTCTTAATCGATTAGAAAGCTTGTTAACTGATTAAGCTACGCAACATATTAAGGTTTCCTTTTTAGGTTTAGTTTAATTAATTAAGATGTCATTTCTAATATATTAGACAACATTCAAGTCCATAGATTGTTGCATTTTTATCTAAACTTTTTCCTATATGAAGTAGTGTTTTCCTCACTTCCAAATCACAAATTTTATGAACTATCTATTTTTCTATCTCACTCATTATCATTTTGCTATCAGTTTTATTCACTAAAAATTGCCTTAGTGCTGAGAGAGTGAAAAACTTCATATGAGAGTCGTGTTTTTCATGTTCTATGATGAATTTGTCTATTCATGAGATTGGTCCTCTTATAATCTTGTAATATATTTGAAGGTTGCAAGCTAAACCTGTAAAAATCTTGGTGTAAGATTGTTGGGTTGAATCCATGTAAATACTCAAGTTATTGATAATGGAACTTTCAAGAGGAAACTGTAGGGGATTGGAGTATGTAGTGTGGTTTAAGGTCGAATCAGGATAATCCCTAGTGTGATCTCTCTTACCCTATCTCTATATTTTTCATTTATTTCTTTTTTGCTACTTAATCTCTGCTTCTACCTTCTTTTTAAATTAATCTTTTTAAAATAAATTATTTTCTTAAAAAGTTTTTGAAAACCAAATATTGTAATTCACTTCACCCCCTATTATTTTTGGAGTCGCTTGTTAAAAAAAACCATGTTGAATGGTCACCTCCTTATTAGGGAACTCATTGACTAAAATAGACAAACTCCCCAATAACGCATAACCATTGATCCATGCACACCACCTACTATTAAATCCAAATCTCTTCATCATGCGGTCTAAATAATTCAAATTAATTGAATTGTAAGTCTTTCAAAGTCCACATTGAATATCAAGCATCTTGACTAAATTTTATTCGGTGGGAATACATTCTTTCAAATTTAAGACCTCGTTTAATACCACCACATTGTTGATCAACAATATTTCTTTAATAAAGGGAAAATGGTTGGAGGCAATGATATGGTCCATAACATGGGCCAACACCTTGTAAAGAGGCCCTAGGAGTGAAATTGGTCTAAAGTCTCATAGATAAAGATTAGAATCCACCTTAGGGATAAAATAACGAAATAGGACAAGATACTCTTAGGAAGGAATACACTCAAGAAAAACGTGTCCAACATCACCTCGACATTAATCCTTAGTAGTGGTCAGAATTCTTGAAAGAATGTAAAATTGAACACGCTCGGACATGGACTCTTATTGCAATCATTATTAAATGTCACTGCATCCATGTATTATCTTCTTGGAAGACTCGAACAAAACAGTATTGTCTAAATGTCGTCCTATCTGACATTTTTTCATATTAATGTTGCGGAAAAAACCTCATCACCTCCTCCCTAGCACCCTCGATATCTTAAACACATTCTCCTTTGATCTCAAGCATCGCGAGAGAATTCCTATGGCCATGCATCTTCACATAAGCATGAAAGTATTGTGTGTGTCCCCTTCCTTAAGCAACCTAGATCTATACATTTGGAACATTTTGGAATCCTTACTCTTAATACACGTCTGCAAGTCTGCGATGCTACTATTCATAACGAAAGCATCTTCCCTAGATAGAGGATCATCTTTCGCTTAAAGATCTAGCACACCAACCTCATCCATAGAGGGTAGCAATAACCAAATCAAAGTTGTCAAAAACCTTCTTACTCCAATACTTATGGGAATATTTTAGTGCATCAATCTTCTGTCTAAGGATGCAGGCTATCCATACTCCTAGGGCATAATGACCCCAACTTTTGAAGAAGGTCCCCTTGAGGGAGCCAATCTTGTGCCAAAACTTATTGAGCCTAAAAGATTAAGACCCCTATAAAAGCGTGGAGAACCAAAGAACCACAGGCGTTGATAGAGGAGATATCTAGGAAGAGCCCACTAAAAGGTAGGGCCCTACGTCTCCAGCTAACCTTTCAGACACCTAAAATTGGTCTAAGTACTCATCGCACGAGGGTTCATACGGTACCTGTGAAACCCCTACCAAGGAGGAGAAGCTTGACATCTATCTAAGATACAAAATACTGAAATTCGAGAATTTCACATGTGATCAAATTTAAATTGAAAATACGAACACTCGTCCTCTCAAACACCCAAAAAATAAGTTGAAAATCCCCAAAAATATATCAAACCTAACCCTCTGACAAACCTTTAAACTTAACCAAATGATCTCAAAAACTCTACTTGTTAGCTATAAGTCTATTACACACTTAAAATACACATTACTAACAAAACAACAAGTGCAAAGAATCACTCACTCAACACACACCCCAGAAATACAGACTTAAAAAATAGTTTCTTTTATCTTATAAATAAATTATTATTCCTCTAACGGGGCTAAAAAAACATGCATGTTTCTTATAGTGAGAATTCAATAGAAACTATGAAGAAATTTCAGAGCATGAAAATCAAACTCTACTAAATTTTATTGATACTTCCAATCCTCAATCTTTATTTTAAATTCAAAATCACTCTCATTGAGATTAAATATGACCAAAATTTATTACGAGGGATACTCCCGGGAAAGATTGATTTTGAAACATGTAGAAAGTATAGAAATTGCCTTTAAATTTACTTTCTTTACTATTTCATTTTCAATTTTAGTTTATATGTTTAAGTTATGTTCATCACATTGTGTTAAGAGACACATGCATGTTAGTTATTGCATGGAACGTCAATATTGAAATATAAAACCACTCCCCCTTTCCATTTTCCTTCACTTCACAATCCAACTTGTCAACTTCAAATTAAGTTGCGTTAAATTTACTTCATGATAACTATTCGATATTCAATTGCAAATTTCTCATTGCACTCATTATTTGACACATGACAATCATGTTTAGGTATCTTTTAAGTTGAAAATCAAAGCTTGAGTTATAATTACTCTTTAAATTCAACCGTTATAATACTAACATTCATATAGAATATACATGTGATGAAACTCTCAAATAATTTATACAAAAAATTATAATCCAATTATGCATCCATTAACCTCACATGATTCATTCATCACAAACTATGGTGGACATGTTTGTATGGTTAATTAGTTATGCCCTCCATGTTAATACGATTATTGCTTCGTTCTTAAATTCTTAGAGCAGAATCATTATATCTTGCATTATATGATCTTAAATTCTTAATGGCATTCAATTTTGATAAAGTAATATACAAACTAACCACTATAAAAGTGTTCACCACCTCCTTCCACATCATAATAGTTTTTATAGATGACAAAACATATTTGACATGTTAGACAGACATATTTTGCCTGTATTTTTTTTGAGATAAAATAAAGTTTTAAACTCGTACTATTTAATATGTTTGTCTGTCGCGGATTTTTACGAGTGTAAGTATTAACATAAATTTATGCAACTTTTAGATTAAATGGGTGCAATATCGCAAGGCCATCTCGTCCTGCCATCAATTTTTTAGGTCAGATCAAATTTTCAAATTTGCGTTTGCATAATGCCAACCTTGCTTTGCCCTATTTTATTTGTAGGGTTTTGCAGGATAGATATAAACGGAGGAGATATGCTTGTTTGTCAGCTCTAGATGTGTTAGTCATTTATTTTGTAAAAAAAAATTATAATTAAGTGTTTTATTTAGAATAAGAATTTGTTTCTCAACTCAAATTAAAGAAATCGATATTTTTATGTCAAAAGCTATTATCAAATTCGAACTTTAATATTCACAACTACGTGAGTTTTTAATGAAAATTACCGCATAAAAAGACATTATTTTTAACTACAATTATATATATATATATATATATATATATATATATATATATATATATATATATATATATATATATATATATGGGATACAAATTGACCTCAATTTGACAAATTTGCAAAGAATAATTACAATATCATCAATTCAAATATACATTGATTGGCTTTTATTTCAACCCTATACCTTGTTAATCAGTAAAATTTGCTCCCCTATATACTGTATAACAGCAAAATTACAAATATAACCCTGCATTGTAAAAATTGAAAAAGATGAAAAACACTGTTGAATCTTAAAATATCAGTTTGAAAAATCCAGAAATGGAAAAGATGAAACATCTTTCATCAAATCCTCCAAGTCCCAATCTCCCACAGATAAATCTCCCTGAAACAAATTCTCCACCTCATCTTCGCCTCTATTTTTATCATCAATTCTCTTACTAACATTAACAATATTGTTAATGTCATCAAAGTTATAGCTACCATTGTTATAATTTTCTTCTCCTTTGAATGCAATGTTCTTCTCCATTTTTATACTATGTTCATCATAAGTGATAGTACTATTAACACTCTCTAGAGGAGGAACGTTGTAAATTCCCATTTCATCATCACCATTAATATTTACACTCCCGAACACTTTTTCCAAATAAAAAGTGTTTTTTCCGTCATGATTATTCTGTGAGAAGTATGAACCTGTAGTGTTGTTATTGAAGAATCCGCCACCACCGGAAGAAGCTGAGATGATGGTGTTGAAAACTGTGTTTTGCATTGATGGTGGTGATGAAGTATTGAACATAGGCATGAAATGGTTATTATCGATGTGTTGATCTTGTGTTGAAGATGTTATGAAACCTCCCATGTTGTTATGATCTTTGCTAGGGTCATACGAGGATTCGTCGCTAGGGTTCGGCGAAGTGTTCGATGACATGTTCTTGAGTCTTTTCTTTATCGTTGAGTTCCAAAAGTTCTTGATTTCGTTGTCCGTTCTTCCTGGTAAGCGCGCCGCTATTTGAGACCATCTTTGAAAATGAAGCATAATTTAATATGTTTTCATAAATATAAATATAGCACAAAATTAATTTTTTTACACAAATTGACAATAACCACTAAAAACTCACACAACTCTCTAAATATCAAGTTTAGATAAAACCTAATAATATTGACATCTGTCTCATAATATGAGTTAATTGAGATGAGTATTTATGAATGTAAATATATTTATTGATTTGTGTCAATTTTGTATAACTAAAAATGAATGCATGCTTTGCATGGAAGTTAATTATTTTTTTATTTTATTTTAAGGATTCATGTAATATGGAGTGTCTTCAACTCGAAGTACAAATAAAGACAAATCGCATCTGTTGTTTTCATTGTACTTTTGTCTTCTACAAGGAGGTGTCTTAATATACATATATTAATAATATTGTTATTATATTTTATGCATGTTGCATGTATTTTTTAAACTTTGAGTTTGCTGTGTTATCTTAGACTAATTGGGGAAGACTTGAATTTTTCCACCCAAAGAATTAAAAAAAAAAGCCTTTTACGAAATTGAATCTCTTCTCTAAATTATGTCTTGGACATTTTTGCATAATTTTTTGAAAAATACTATGAAAACTCTCTTTTTAACTATTTTTTTAACTTATTAAATTTTTTCATTAGATGAAATTTATATGAATTTTAATTTTAAAAATAAGTCATATATAAATTGGTGAGATTCAAATGAGATTTTTCTAAAACTAGTCTTTTATAGAACATTCACACATATCAACTACTTGTATTAAATTTTGATTATAAAAATTAATGTGTATGAGTGAGTAAGATTATTTTAAAAAGTAAATAAATTACTTGAACTCTTAAAAGGAAAAATAGTGTAAATATATTATATATCATAATTTGTTGGATAAGTATCAATTAAATTTTTATTAACTAAATTTTACATAGAAAATTTAGGAAGGGCACAGAGTAATAACAGAAATTTTTAATTTGGTGTTCCAGTGGAAAATTGATAGCATTAATTTAGAAATATTATAAAATTATTATAAATATTAGAGAATATATTTTCTAGTTCCACTTTATTTTTTAATATAATATGTTTAGTATTATTTTGGAGGAGGCAAAAATTAATTTAAAAATGTTGTCGAGTATAATTGATTTTATTTCTAGATTAAAGCTACAATCTAAAGTTTTTAATTTGAATTGATAGTCCATCTCAAATTTATTATTCAATTCAATTTTACATAAATATTATATATAAATTATTTTACCATCAACATTTTCTTAACTAAAATCAATATTCTTAAAATGTTTTTTAATTTATGAATCAAATATACATTAAACCACACTTTTAGCGCTTAATAAATAGTTAAATATTAGGAAAAAAAAATTCAAATTTCACGTATTGATAATTCAGATCATCTCTGGACACCAAGCTCAATACTAATGGGCAAGATGCAATGTATTAAAAAGTTAATTTTGTAAAGATAAATTATGTCAAAAGTTTTATAATTGTATCGTGATATTATAGTATTAAGATCAGATACTGTTTATATGCAGAGCAAATCTAATACTGATGAGCATAAGAGGGGTGAATAGAAAGAAAAAAAAAATGTTGCATATCCACCCACTTTTTATATCCTCGAACAAAACCTAAATCTCACATTGGTAAAAATAAAAAGTGAATTTTGCAGAAAGATGAGACTCTAATTATAATAATAAAGAGTTTATATCTTTTATCATGGTGCTGAATAAGACACAAGAAAATATATTTATTTTCAAACACTAATCATTCATATATATTAGTACTATAACACTTTCACTTTATCAGATAAAGATGAAAACTACGGATATTAGACATGTCTGAATGTCTGATATACATGCTAAATACTTGGATATACGTGGTGGAGCTAGTACTTAAAGATCATATAAAAATTTCAAAAAACATCATGAAAATGTTAATAATAATGCATCTATGGAACAAAATTTGGTAATAAGATACAAAAAAAAATAAAGAAAGAGTTAGAGAAAAGTAAATAAAATGACCTGTTTCCAAGAAGAGAATGCAAATGGATGATAAGTTCTTCTTCTTGTTGTGAAAATGCACCCCGTTTAAGATCAGGTCTCAAGTAATTAATCCATCTTAGCCTACAACTTTTTCCACATCTTTGCAACCCAGCATTTCTAGCAACATCACTCCAACAACCTTGTCCACTATTCAACATGTAGTTCATAAGTTTCTCATCTTCCTCCGGTGACCACAACCCTTTTCTAAGCTTATTATTATTTGTGTTGTTTTTACCGGACGATGCAGATTCTGGTTTCCTCATTGCACTACTAGCTGCTTCTCCTCCTCCTCTTGATGTAGAGATCATAAGAGAAGGATTTATAGAGAGAGAAAGTTATGTATGTTTATATATAATAAAGAAAGAAGCTTCATAGGGTGGGAATGATGATGATAATGATGATGGTGATGGTTGTGGGGTTTGCTTACAAATTAGGGAAGAGTAGTGATGAGAGAAAGAGAAAGAGAAAGAGGAGTTGGTTGGTTGATCAATGAGTCTAGTTGAAAAAGAAAACGGTTTGGAGAGAGACATTGAGAAATATATATATTAAGATATATGTGTCTTCTTGTCTTTGACTCCATGCCCTTTTTTCTTCACTCACAAGGTAATTATCATCATATGTATACATGAATCACATTGTTCCATAAATATATATACACATATACATATACTATACTCCTTTGTTTTATAATGAAGGCAAGTTATTTGCTTCCACTTCACATAATGATCCATCCACACGTGTAATTGAAGATATATAGAGAATTAGTAAAGTTAAGACGGCATATACTTAATGATAGTTATATGCGTGTGTATAACAGTTATTATTTTGTTAATTTATTATGTGCATAAGATCCACTTGCTTAAGTTTCATTGCATGAAGAAGTAAAATAGACTCAAAATGTGTATATGTATGAATAGAAGATAGATATTAAATACGCCTTTAATTTGGATCATATGTGGAAAGGTGACAAAAGAAGAGATTTGGAGGTTTGCTAGTCTTTCTCTCTTGTCCATATGTACATAGAATACATCTTGTAAGATACAATGCCTTAACCGGTTATTCTTTGACTATTAGTCGATTTGTGTGCATAGATGTGTTACTTTCATTAAGCAAAAGAAATCAAGGTTGAAGAATATTAACTATGCATTATTTGTATAGGCTTTAAATTTTATTGGTTCCTACATCCTAGGGTATATGAAGGTCAGGCCAAAGGATAGGGTGTACATGGTCTACTTTTAGTGGTGAGGCCCAAGGATAAGGTGCACATGGTCTACTTTTAGTGATCAATGATAAGTTTAAAATGCAATTCTTTGTTATTGATTTGGCATTCGGTTGAGTGGCTTATTTGAAAATTGTGTAATAACTTAGTATCGTTCTACAATTGATAGATATAGGTCAAAAAAATACGTGGAAATGATTTATTACTAATGTGGTTATTTGTGTTCGCATTTATAATAGGAGGAGGATTATCTTCTATATTTGGTTTGATAGTAGGTAGTGTAGTTGGGTTGAGGAGATCATTTGTTTTAGTGTGGTTAAGTTCAATGTTAGTATTTATTGTCTCTTCAGTTGAATTTGACTTTTGATTCTCTTTTGTTTTGCCTAGTTTAAAGGAGGAGGGAAAATTTGATTCGCCTACGATCAGGTTTTTACCGCATTCACTTATTTAGTTTATTTGTTGTTGTTATAACAAGATTAGAAAATTTTGGTTTACACTAAATGCGTGAATGTGTCAATTATCAACGGAGAGAATCATGGTTCATAAACCTAGTGATCCTGAATTGTACGAGTGGTTTACTAGTTGATTTGATTATTTTATAACAAACTTTTAGGTTAAAGTTAGTATATTCTTGTTAGAACTTAACCCTTGACCTCCAACTTCTTTTAATCCTTAACACTCTAGTTAGTTGGTTTGCCTTGTTTCATTCTTTATTTTGTGTTTTATATATCTTTTGGTGTTGTCTCCTTTGTTTGCTTATGTCAAGTGTAATTGTACTATTGGTCCTCCTTGTAACTCTTTCATGTTCTTTAATTATAATGTCACTAAAAAAAATCTATTTTTAATTTTAACGGTTCATAAAGTTGTTGCACTATAAAGCAACGATAGAAAATTGGGGTGAGTGTATATTTCTGTATACTTTAGGTTTTTAATACAATAGGGCCGAAATCCAAAAGATAAGATATTACAAAGCAACTAAATGAAATGTATAAACACATTTAATGTCATCAATAAGAGTCTTAATCATCTCATGAAAAAGATGATTATAAAAACTAATTAACAAGCCTAACAAAGAAAACGTGAAAAGTAAAATGTTCCAATTTGGAGCATTGGCTAAACATGCGTCAATTAGCCTCTTGAACTCTGAACAAATAGAAATTATTCTGTAATAAATATTATTGAAAAAATCTGAAATCCCATGTTGATTAAAGATAGAACCTTAAAAAAATTTGAATAAAATGACACTTTTCATTTTACAAACTTGTTTTATGAGTTGTATAAGAATGAGTTAGAGTTACATGAATAACTCTAACTTCCCACTCCAAAGCAATCAAAGCTTTAATCTTGTAAATATTCTAACCTATTTTTGTTTTACGTAATATATTTTCTCTTCAATTATTTTCTTTACCAACTATAGGGCTGAAAATTACATTTGCAAGTTATGTAATTTTGCAGTGGAATAGTGACTTTATTGATAAAATAGTTTTAGAAAATAAGTCTAGTACATTGATATTGAAGAAAGTGATTAACTTTAACCTTCTATAACTTTGTCAAGCATATTCCTTTCCATATAAAGGTGAATCATGCTAAAAAAGAAGAAAGAAATGGTGCAACCATATATTGACTTTTTAGAGTCACTTTTTAGAGCAAGAAAAACATGCACATTTCTATGTATGGACAATTACATTTTCCTTATTTAATCATAATCTCAACTCTCAAAACAAGTTGAATTGAAGAACCAAAAATCTACTTTATTTATGGAAGTTATTAATTAATACATCCTGCTGACGTACAAATGATAATAATATCTTGTCTTGAAGATCTGATGATTTTAAAATCAACCCCTACAAAACATGCACTTATGTGTGTGGTGGTTAAAGTGGTGTATGTTAAAGCCTAAACAATTATAGATGATCAAAAGAAGTTTAAGCACTAAGTTGGTTAATGTACCAAAATGAAACTGCAAAAATATTAACCAACTCATGCACTAGAAGGAAACAAAATTCTTGTAAGGTAATGGATGTCTTTTTTACAGTCACTATGAGAGTTTTTTATTTTGAGTGTTGTTACTCATTATAACTTCCTTACATTCTACTGACTCATAAAAGCTAGAAGGATTGTCAAAAAGTTAAAAGAAGCAATCAATTTAATAAATTGGCATCCCCCTAAGGGACCAAGTGGGCTACAGGATTTGATGGGTATGATATGATGCATGATTTAATTCATACATGTAAAAAGCAATTACACATTCGATAAATCTGAGTCATCGAATCATTATAAACATTCAAGTTTCATCATAACTACTTCTAAAATTATATACGTAATTGGTCAGCAAATTTAAAATCATAGTATTTGTGGTCGGCAAATCCTAACTCAAGTGACAAAAAACAATATTACTAGGTTGAATTCTAATATCAGGATTTGAACCCTGACTCTCACGGTTGTGTGTGAGTTTATAGTGATTAAAAAGTCATGTGTTTGTGAAAATACACTGGCATAGTATATTAGCAAGATTTTCTTGGGTATTAAGAATTGAGATTTGTGAGAGGATATTTAGTTGGGTGTAGGTAGAAGGAAAAAAGTTAAAAGAATGGAGGAAAACAAAGTACCATTTGTCCACCTCAGAGATCCAATTCATGTCGTTAACAACACATCATGTTGCTTTGACTTCAAATAATATAATGATTAATCAAAATTTTAGTAGATACTATAGAGACTATAGAGAATATGTAAAAGAATTCATGTCCACAAATCCCAAAAACCATAAGATAAATACACATGATAAGAAAGAATTGACCAATGCTTGAGGTTGCTTCAAAATGCATCTCTAATCAATAAAAAATAAAGGGTAGAAAAGTATATTAAGATAGAGAAACCATAAAGGAACAAACATTTACATACATACATACATGTACATACATAGTATATCTTTTTGGACATTAGTAGAGGTAAAATTAGTCATAAAAACTTCCAAAATCCTAATAAACTTGAGCTTTTTCTATGCTTTCTCTATACTGCATGTTGTGTTGCCAAAGCTTAGCTCTAATCTTATTCATGTTGATTACCTCATAAGTAAGCAAGCATGACTTTAGTTAGATAAGAGGGGTCCTACCAACAACAACTTTCCATTACTAACCTATCAATAAATTAAGAAAGTGCAACCACCATAGTAACGAACTATCTAAACAAAGTGAACGTTTTAGAAAAAGAGATACAAAATCAACATGGAAAAATGTGATAGCTACTAGACAGAGACAAGTATAATAAATGAATGCACAAATTAGTAGCATGAGTGTTTTACACTTATTAGGAATATATTTCATACACCAACATAGATTTAAAGAACCTGGATCCTCTGTTGCAGCACTCTCTATAACCTCCTCTGCATACTGTGGAATTGTAGAATCAGGACATAGTATATACTACATCTGATCCTTAATATAAGAAAAAGTTTACTTTTTAGATTCAGTGAAGAATCAATGTATCTGGACCAGAGGGAGTATTATAATGCGATTTAGTGATGTTCAAATTTGACTTCATAGGTAGTTGGAGTAAAGAACTTCCACTACATCGAAGTTTTTATTTGATACCGATTGCATATGTATATCTAAACAAATTAGATACAGCTAAAAACAAACATTTATCCGTGGCAGAAATTGAAGTCACAAATATTACAGGCATAAAGTTTGAGTTTGTTCAAAATTTGAGACATGGGTCTTCTGTCATTAACTTGACATATTTGGTCACTGGCATCAGACAATACAAATGCAAATGTATCTATGCATGACATTGTCACAAGATTGTAATGATGTTTATGTTTCTAAATGTAGCCTCTCACATAGAATAATTTGTTCTTATGAAGATGAACTTTAAATCACATCTATAGCGTTCGTTATTTATCGACAATTCAGTCTCTAAAAAGTTTATCCAATTAGAGACTGATTTAATGTTGTTTGTAATCACTAAGATTTTATATCTTCTTTACTAAGATATTACTCCCTCTGGTCCTATTTATAAAAAAAAAGTTGACGTTTTAGATTCATT